CCTCGGCCTCCCAGAGTGCTAGGATTACAGGCGTGAGCCACCGCGCCCGGCCTAAAATTTTTAATTTTTTTACTTTGTAAACTTTGTTAAAAACTAAGACACAACCATGTACATGAGCTTAGGTCTACACAGGGTCAGAATCATAAATATCACTCTTTTCTACCTCTACATCTTGTCCCACTGGAAGGTCTTCAGGGGCAATGACACAGGGAGCTATCTCCCATCATAACAATGCCTTTTCCTGGAATACCTCCTGAAGGCCCTGCCTGAGGCTGTTTTACAGTTAAGTTTGTTTTTGTAAGTAGAAGGCCTATACTCTAAAATGATGATAGAAAATATAGTATAGTAAATACATAAACTAGTAACATAGTCATTTATTGTCATTATCAAATATTTTCTATTGGACATAATTGTATGTACTGTATTTTTATACAACTGGCAGAACAGTAGGTTTGTTTGCACCAGCATCACCATAAACTTGTGAGTAATGCATTGCACTACTACGTTACGATAGCTATGAATCACTAGGCAATAGGAATATTTTTTTTTAGAGACAGGGTCTTGCTGTTTGCCCAGGCTGAAGTACAGTGGTACTATCATAGTTCACTGTAATCTTGAATTCCTAGGCTTGGGTGATGCTCCTAGCTTAGCCTCTGGAGTAGCTAAGACTACAAGTGTGCACCACCATGCCTAGCTAATTTTTAAAAATTTTTTGTGGAGACAGGGTTTCACTATATTGCCCAGGCTGGTCTCAAACTCCTGGCCTCAAGCGATCCTCCTATCTTGGCTTCCCAAAGTGCTGGGCTTACCGGTGTGAGCCACTGCACCTGGCCTCCATTATATGTTATGGAACCACTGCCATATATGCGGTCCGTCATTGACCAAAACATCATTGTGCAGGGCTTGACTGTATGCAAATTTATTTAGTTCTAGGAAGAATAATGAATTAGTTAGAATGTTTTTGCCTCTTTCTTTATCCATCCATAAATACGTATTTTCTAAATTTAACAACAGTTTTATACTGTTATTCAGACATGTTGAATGGCATTTAAAGTATAGTGACATATGAAGTCTAGGATATAACACTCTGTACTTTCTTTTTCTTTTCCAGTGTCTGTATTTATGCTGAAAGTCCAGGTGAATGATATCATCAGTCGTCAGTACCTGAGTCAAGCAGTTGTAGAAGTGTTTGTAAACTACACGAAGACGAATTCCACAGTAACTAAAAACAATGGTGCAGTGTTGATAAAAGTACCCTATAAATTAGGACTCAGCTTAACTATTATTGCTTACAAAGATGGCTACGTGTTGACCCCTCTGCCTTGGAAGACTGGAAGAATGCCAAGTAAGGACTTAAAGAGTGTTTTGTATCTACTAAATATAAATGATTTTTTTTCCCCTCCATTTTGGGGAATATCTTGTTCTGGTAAATTGAAAATGAGAGTGCCTAAATGAAGAGAATATAGGGACATTAGAAGAGAAAGCCAGTTTAAAGAAAACTTCGTCTTAGTCTGTTTGGATTGCTATAGCAAAGTAACTGTAAACCAGGTATCTTATAAACAACAGAAATTTATTTCTTACAGTTGTGGAGTCTGTGAAGTCTAAGATCAAGGTGCTAGCAGATTTGGTGTCTGGTGTGGGTCTGCTTTCTGGTTTATAGATGGTGCCTTCTTATTGTGTATTCATGGGGTAGAATGGACAAATGAGTTCCCTTGGGCCTACTTTATAAAGGGCACTACATTTACAGTAGGGCCTAAGCCTTGTATGTTAAAAATATAAAAAGCAATTGAGGTTGGAAAAATATTTGAAACAATGAAGGGTGATATATTTAATATGCAAAGAATTAATACAAATTAGTGAGAAAATGTCAAGGCCCTACCTAAGTAAGGTAAATGGACAAAATCATGGCCTAGCAATTTTCAAAACAGGAAATACAAACGATTAGTAAACATGACAATGTGCTTTATATCCCTAATAATCTAAGATCTGTACACCGAAGAAATACACACTTTTTAGATTTTTCACCTTGGAAAAGTTTTTTAAAAAGTTATCCTGGCCGGGCGTGGTGGCTCACGCCTGTAATCCTAGCTCTCTGGGAGGCTGAGGCGGGTGGATTGTTTGAGCTCAGGAGTTCGAAACCAGCCTGAGCAAGAGCGAGACCCTGTCTCTACTAAAAATGGAAAGAAATTAATTGGACAACCAAAAATACATGGAAAAAATTAGCCGGGCCTGGTGGTGCATGCCTGTAGTCCCAGCTATTCGGGAGGCTGAAGCAGAAGGATCGCTTGAGCCCAGGAGTTTGAGGTTGCTGTGAGCTAGGATGATGCCATGGCACTCTAGCCTGGGCAACATAGTGAGACTCTGTCTCAAAAAAAAAAAAAAGTTATCCTCGGTATTAACAAAGCAAGCAAGGTAGAATCAACATTCTTAAACATTGTCAATGGGAGTACAAATAGTCAAAATTATCTGGGTAACAAATTTTGAAATATATATGTCAAAAGTTTTCAAAATCTTTATAAACTTTGACCCAGTATTTCATTTCTAGGAATCCATTCAAACACAAACATACAAATAAATATAGTGGACAAGCATTCATGCACCAAGATGTGATGTCAGTATTTTTCTGATAATAGTGAAATGGAAACACCTAAATCTGTAATTTTAGTGCAGTGATTAATCTTGATACTTAAGTGAAATATGTGTCATTAAAATATTATGAAGTTTTTATTGAGACAGAAATGCTTATTAAATGAAAAATGCAGAGTAAAAATATTCTGTATACAATATCATACTTCCCATTTAAAAAAAATCACAAGAAAAATCAATGAAGAGCTGTACTAAAATATCATTAGTGGTTGTCTCTGTGGTGGTATTGCAACATCTGTCATTTTCTTTTTATTCTTTTCAGTATTCCTCAACTTTTTCGAAGTGGGCATTACATCCCTTTTAAAATAAGAAAAATTTTTAAGTGAAAAGAAATCAGAATGTTAAGTTTTACTGAGGTTCAGAAAGATTCTCCTCGGATTTAATAGCCTTAAAAAGCTGTCAGGGCTGTCCCCTTTTAAGCGATCTGTGACTGAGAAAGTATCCAAATATGGGATAATGCTCTACTTATCATCATCTTGAGGTCCAAGCTACAACCCCACCACCTCTTCTCCAATTTAATAAATCTATTAATCAGTCTAAATGTTAATGTATTCTGAAATTGAAATTATGCTTTCATTTGGTAATTCACTTTTTCCTGTGGAAGGAAAAAAGTATATTTCATTTTATTTCCCATCATTGTATAGTTTTTGTGTTTTACCCTTTTTCCATATTTCTTTTAAAGCTCTTGGTAATATCTCAAAATATTAAAAACATTTCCATGCAAATGTTTTATCTTCTTTTAAGAGGCTTGAGGATACTGTGTTATTTCTATTAATTTTAAATACTTTAATAGCATAAAGGAGAGATACCAAATGACAGCTTGTGCTTTGAATAACTCCTCAAAACTTATTTTTCTTTTGCAAGATTGGGAAATTTATCTGATTGGTTCTTGGTTATAGAATGGTCTTTTGTCCTCGCTTGTTGCTCCAGATCTTGAAGCAATTTGTCTTTCAGGTGATCTGCACTTTCTCATCCCACCAGTTATTTCAGCTGCCTACTCCAGCAGGCCGGTTCAGCTCCAAGCTCTGTTACTACCAGAGGTTGCCTGTGAATCATCTTCTGCATTAAACTGTTTCCTTCTCTGCCGACTCAGAGTCCTTTTGGCAAACCATACTGTGTGCAGAAGAGCATTGTGCTCATGTGGGAAGTTAAAAATGAAGAGTGGATGTAGTCTCTATCTACAGAACCTTGAATCGTGGAGCCAAGAAAAAAATTCTTAAAAAATCTTTAGAAGTAAATAACAAATGTCTTAAAATAGTAGAGGGTTATTCAAGCATTTAACTTGATCATTTACATCTGGGGTTAGTTGTAGAACATCATTAGTCACCTTGGTACAGACTACTATAAGAAACAGAAAAGATTAGTGAAATAAAATAGTGATTCGCAGTGTTTTCTTCTCATTTTATTGTGATTTTTTTCCTCCATCATATTTTATATTCATTCCTCCTTTGTTTTGAATCGTTCTTCCCATCAAGCAGTTTTTTTTCTTTTTTCCCACTTTTTAGGACTTGCTGTCACAGAACTATATCTGTCTGAGTTTTATTTCCCACATTAAATAAAATATTCTAATTGTGCTATATTTCACAGTATATTCATCAGTTACACTTTCACTGTTCCCACAAAGCCAAGCAAATATATGGCTATTTGAAGACACTGTTTTAATTACTGGAAAATTAGCTGGTAAGTACAATACTTCTTACTTAGTAAGTAAACACTTAAAGTTATCATTAACTGTTCTTCTTGACTAATGAATCAATGTTAATTATAACTTGGGAAAAATATAAATTGATCAGCGATTAGTACTGACTATGAACCAATCCTTATTTTACTATCAAACTAATAGTATGATTTTTTTGTGTAGTAGGAATTAATTTTTGCTATACTATTTTAGCCTCTTAAATAGGAATGTTTGACTTTTGGAAGTGTTGGAAAAAGCTTCTGTCCTTTCCATATCACTTACAGGATTTCAGTGGTGGGTGAAATTGGGAAAAGAGAGAACACATGTTGCTCAGACCTTTGCAGCCTTCTTGCGTGCAGAGTGCCTCCAGTCCTGCCTCCTGAGTTAATCTTGCTGCCTGTGTGGGAGAGGCCTGGAACTGGGCAGACATGATTTGCCTCACGTGCATATCCCAAGGGAAAGAGTGCAGAAAGCCTTATTTGGGGTACTGATTCAAGCTGTGTCCTCCAATTCTGCTTTACCAACCATGGAGATGGCGGTTTCATCCTTACCTCACCTCCCCAAATCCCTCAATTGGTGCTTAGGAGAAGCCTCAGAATTCTGTGACTTTTACTGCATATCATATGACATCTCTGTAAATGACAATTTGTTTTCTTGTTTTGTATTGGTAAATTAATGTTTCGGTCTAAAGCATAATAGGAATGGCTGATAAAGTGAGAAAATCCCCAAGGTAGAGTCCAATAAGAGAGTCATGATAAAGAGAACTGTTTGTGAAAGTTCTTTTCATTTTTGGATGCTATTTTATTAATACTTATTCCTAATGTATTAAACCAGAAAACCTAATACTGCTGTTGGAAAAAAAATTCAACTGGGGCTTGATTAACTTTGGAGTAATTTACTGAGTGAGGCTGTAGAATCTTTTGCTCTTGAAATGCCAAGGCATGTGGCAGAAATTTGGGCCACTGATTTTGCTGGTGTATGGCAAATACGAGAACGAGCTCTGTCGTCCTTTCCAAATCACATCTCTCACTGGGGCATCAGTGGACGTGGAGTTGTGTGTGAAAGGATGGAAAGTTAATAGGAACCACATGTCTGCAGAGACAGGCTGTATTTGATGCTGCTAGGGCCTTAATGCTATCAGGTTCTCCATAGTATCTCTTCAGTGTTTTGACACATTCCTACTCCTTCCTGGCCTCTTCAAACAATTAGAAATTGTAGTTTCTGCTGGTATACCTGAGATGGATCAGTGTCAGACCAAGCAATGGTGAGTGCTTGTTCGTATGGACAATACTAGTCGTGCCTTGGCAGGTCTCCACGAGAACACTATGAAACCTCTTGAATTCTCAGATCACTTCCTTTTACCACCTCATTTCCCTAAGAGGGACCCATTTGTAAGGCCAAGCAGGAAAGGATGGATGTTTCTGATGTTAAATCTTTTTGTAGAAGATATATATCCTCACTTCTTGGCCGGGCCCAGTGCCTCATGCATGTAATTCTCTCACTTTGGGAGGCGGAGGCAGGAGGATCACTTGAGGCCAGGAGTTCGAGGCCATCCTGAGCTACATAGCAAGACCTTGTTTCTACTGAAAACAGGAAAATTATCTGGACATGGTGGCATGTACCTGTAATCCCAGCTATTCCGGAGGCTGACGCAGGCAGATTGAGCCCAGGAGTTTGAGGTTACAGTGAGCTATGATGATGCCACTCCACTCTAGCCTGGGCAACAGAATGAGACTCTGTCTCAAAAAAAAAAAAAAAAAAATCCTCACTTCTTAATCTCCATAAGATATTTCATCAGGAAGGTGTTCAATTTGTACAATCAAAATATGTTAGGCCTGTATGTGAATGTATTTGTGGTAAAAGGAGAAATAGGAAACTTCAGGAATGTACAAAACCTTCAGAAGCTCAGCTAGATATTTCACTTAGTGTGCATGTTTTCATTTGTAAGAAATTTGGATCTTCAACATAATTAAGCCACATATTTTAACAGAGTGAGTTGTAGATAGTACCTGCAAGTGATCAGAAGGCATAAGATTATGCTCTCAAACAACTTAACCAAACAAGAATGTATATTATAATTGTATTGTTTTGCTTAACTATTTTCCAGGTATTTTAGCTTCACACATAAAAAATAAACTGAGGATTCTTTTATTTTTTTCATTTATTATCCTGCAACTCTAAAAACAGATACTTTTTTCATTCTAATAATTTAACTGATTATTCGTCTTTATTAGTGATGTTATCAAAGTCCAAAGCAAAAGCTGATGTTCTTAATAATTTAGTTGTAATGATTTAAAAGTTGATCTTTGAATTGTTAAATAAAATGTGTTGATTACAGAAATATCAATATTGTCACTGAGCTCTCACTTGATAATATTAGAAGATAGTTATTGAGATAATATTTATAAGTCGAGTGCCTTATATTTGAAAGACTTTTAATGCATGATTAATAATCTGATAGAGAAACCTAGTCACTTAAATACGTGGCTGAATGTCAAAGACATTTTCTGTTGTAAGTTTCTGAAAACTAGTCCCCTAAACTACCTTACACTGAAAGGAAGCCTTTATTTATTTCTCAAATAATTGATAAGTCTAGAGTAGAACCAATTTTAGATATGGCTTGATCAGGACTTCAGTAGAAATAATTGATAACTGGTTTTACTCTCTCCATTTTTCAACTCTCCACTCTTTGAATGTTGCCTCAATTTTCAAATGAGCTTCCATTTTTGGTCACAAGGTGGCTGTTGCAACTCCCAGATATATACCTGCTCATATAAAATCCACTGGGGGAAAAGCTAGCCTTCCCCCCGACCCTGGCAATGTGCAAGCAAAGCTCACAGTGCATCTCACTGACTGTGCTTGGGACAGAGCCCATCACTGAACAAATCACTGAGGCTAAGACAATAATGAGATGCAGTAAATTTGTTTAAGCCATCTCAGCGTGCACCATCAACTCTACTCCTGTTACAGAAATGGGACCTCAGCTGAACCACATGGGCTAAAAATGGCCATTGTGGTGTTTCCTACAGTGAAACCCAAAAATGTGTGAGGAAATTCTGGGCAGCAGAATCAAGTAATACAAGGGTGGCTTGTGTAATCTAAAGAAAAGGAAATTTCTTATTTAGTCAGTTCTGAGTTTAAAATAATTATATGAGAAGATGTTAGTGATGTTTAGAAATGATTATAACTGCTTCTTTTAAAGTAAAATGTTGTGACCAATGATGCTATGCTTGACATGCATTTTTCTATTTGTTAATGAGGTTTCCTTTTTTCAGATGCCAAATCTCAACCAAGTGTTCAGTTTTCAAAAGCCTTAATTAAACTTCCTGACAACCATCACATTAGCAATGTTACTGGCTATCTTACAGTTCTACAACAATTTTTGAAAGTGGACAATTTCCTGTATACAACTGGAATTACTCTCAATAAACCAGGTATTATCTAACTTTTGCATAATGTAATCGTATTTATGAAAATTACATAAATCTTTCAAATATTTGTTTAGATACTTAGATAGCTATTAGATATTCGATATTCATTTAAGCTTCAGAGAATACATGAAATGTTTGAAACAAATCTAGTTATTAAAATGTTTATAAGAAATCCCCTTTTATCCAATGAAAGAAAGATTATAC